CCGGCAGGGGGAGGGTATGGCTTCCGGTTGCCAAGGCGAGTCCCCCACTTCCGAGCGCCCCGCCCTGCGCCGCCTGCTGCTCGCTCGCCCCGTGTCTCTTCGCCTGGATCCCAGGAAAGGGAGGCAGATGGAAGGGCGGAGCCGGTCGTGTTGAGAAGCAGCCGATGGCCCTCAGCCTAAAGGTGGTAGGAGCCCAGCGTTTCTAAGCCCCTCTCCAGATAATACGGAGGGAGAATAACCGTCATCAAGAGGGAAGCACCACCGGGGGCGTGCCTTGAACGCTTAGTTCAGTTATCTTTGGGGGTAAAACGGCCCATTTTTGCAGCTCCAAAGCGTTTCCTCCTAGACTGTCAACAGAATAGTGATGCACCAGGCACTTTGATGTTGCCCTGAAAACTAAGTGCACATTTTTGGGGTCTATCTTCTGGCATCATTTCTAAACAGTACGAATTGGGACAGAAATCCTGGACAAACCTCATTGCACCAAAGACCATCTTATTTTTGGATTACTTAGTTATGGCCCCAACTTTAGTGATTGAAATTTAAAATAAGTCATTATTACAGAAAGAAAACAACTCAGATATTGTGAGTCTTCAGAGTCTATCATGGAGGGGTGACTTTCTCATCTTTTGACCAAAAACTTTTTCCAAATTTATAAAGTGGTAACGTTTTGGAGGTAGAGAAAAAAAAGTGTCATTTCTACTGTTCTGTATTTACTAGCTGAAAGAGCACTGGCATATTGAACTTTTTGCTAACATGGAAATTTTAGAATGATTGGTAATAGCATACATACTTAAAAATTCTGTATTGATTATAAACCTAAATTTTGCCTAGATTCTCTATAGAAGTTTTAAAGGATTATTTTCTTACCCTCCTTTTCTTTCATAGAAATTCTGCTTAGATTCACCTAGAATGATTTTCATTAAGATGTAATCTAGATTCGAATGAATTATTTTTCAACGACGATTCAAACATATTCCAAAGCTTTTCAATCCTCAACTAATAGCTGTGAAAAACAGTGCTTATTATTAATTAAAATGCAAAACCACCCACCACTTCTTCGAAGACCTTTACCTCCAAAGCTCCCTAAGCTGCCTTTATATAAGAAGAAAGTCCATACGGGTATGTATATTAATCAGATATGTTATTAACTATTTTTCATAGGAAGTTCTCAACCTGCACAACTCAGAATCACAATAAAGACACTAATAACCAGTAACTGATAAATGTTTGTTGTAAGGTGATAGCATCCAATTTAACTCTACAGGTACAGCTAATTCTCATTATTTGTGGATTCAGTAGGTAGAATTTACCTAACTGCTAAAATTTTTTGGTAACATTCAGATCAGTATTGTTCTGTATTTTCTTTTTTAACTCAATACTATATCATGAAGAACACTGCAGAGCAGCATATAGCACTCCTTCTCATTCCTTTTATAATAGGTGAAACTGTGTGCAGGAGAAGGGTATATATGGTGTGTATATGGTAACTCTCAGTTATTCTGGATATGCTCAGGGCAGTGAGAACAGATATGTTCCCAGCTGAGGTTGCACAGGATATATTCTGCCTTCTTGTTTCAGCTGTCATACTATAAACAACTGTCCTTTCCCTAGCCTATTTAGTGCCATGTTTTTTTTAATATTTGTGTTTTTGTTGGTGATTTTGCTGCCTAAAATGCCCCCCAAGCACAGTGCTGAAGTGCTGTCTAGCCTTCTTAGACACAAGAAGGCTGTGATGTGCCTTACAGAGAAAAACATGTGTTAGATGCGCTTCCTTCAGACATGATTTACAGTGTTGTTGACCATGAGTTCAATGTTAATGAATCAACAATATATGTTATATAAGTTGTCTTTAAAATAGCAACACATATAAAACAAGATTATGTGTTGATTGGTTGTTGATAATGTTGAGACCAGAGGCTTGCAGGAACCTAACCTTATTTTCCCTAGGAGCCATGGCTCAGTGCTGGGTAATTCAGTATTCACTGACACTTTATAGAACAGGTTGGCCACAAATGACATGAGGTGACTAGTTATGAGCACAGGATTAGGAACTGGAGATATAGTGAGCAGAATAGGCCTGCCAATCCTTTTCATTAGTTACCCTCCGGTGGGATCAAGTAATTACATATGTAAATGTAAAATTGCCTTGTGATAAATTCTCTGAAGTAAATAGGAGCCATTTTTATAACTATAACTTTATACAATACCTTTAATCCTCTTATCTGTAATAGTATCTATTGACTTGGTAAAATTATCATATGTCATTTTCTTTCCCATATTTTGGTTTCCTCTCCTACCTGATTTTAGCCGATTGTTTCAATTATTTTAGTGTCAATTTGTACTTTTAAAATATGCTTAGTCTATAACTTGATTTACAATGTTAAATTATTATCTCTTGATCCATGGCTATTAAAGATGCTTAAATCAACACACCTATACTTCCACCAATGTCCTCTCCCACTTTCCCTACCAACTTTTGTTATATCATTTCTATGTTATCATTTCTACATTTCTATAATTTCCTACATTTACAAAATGTTCTGTAATAGATATAGCCACAGTTATGTAGATTCACTGCTCACTATCAGATCTTTTGTTGTAGTTTTTCCATTCACCTTTTGATTGAAATTTATGCTCTAGTATAGAATTTCTTACTATTGAAATTTTGGGCAGGTAACTCATTTCTGTAGGGGGTGATTCTATTGCTTTTGGTACCTTGGAGATTCTATGACCTTGACTATTATTAATCTTATGTCTCCAAAGGCTTTTGGCAGAGTGCTTTGCACATAGTGAGAGTTCCAAATATTTGTTGAATAAGTGAATTAATACTTAAAGTGACTGAAATGTAGTTTCTAAAAATGAATACTCAAACACAAATAAATCTTTGAAATAAATATCTACAATTTGCATACAATGCTAAGTGCTGTAGAGAATTAATGATATGATTGATCTGGTCCCTGCTTTTCAAGATCTTTCAAGACCATTAACTAAGCTTTAAAGATGAGATACACATAAAATAAGAACCTTAAATAGCCATACAAAGCAGCATAGAATTAATGTCCAATTAATAGTAGAGACAGTAGTAGTTCATAGATGTGAAAAAGCACTAGAGCAAGAATGGTACTTGAACTAAGGCTTGAAGAATTAGTAAAAGTGGAATGAAATATGTTTATTTATAGAGGACACCTGTGTAGTTTTTGCCAAGGAGAGTCCATTGGAAAAATAGAAATTTAATATACCAGAAAAAAAGAAAAGCAATCACGGGGAAATGTGTCAAAAAATAAGGAAGAATGGAATTGAGAAGACATATCATTTTAATTGGGAAGATTTTCCTAAATATCTCTATCCTCTTCACCTAGTCACCTAGAGTGCCTTCATTTATGCTTCCATAGTATCCCAGAGTTACCTCTATTGAGCACTTATACTCATTCTCTAGTATAACTGTTTACCTGCCTAGTTTCTATACTAAATTGTGAGATATTTGATTGTAGTAAGGTTAGTTCTGTGTGATTGTACCCTCAGCACTAAGTGTACAGCTGGCACATGGTAGGTGTTAAATGTTTGTTGAATTAACAAGAACAGTAAGTGTGGGTTTTATTAATCAAAAAAGATGGATTGCATAAAGTTTAAGGTACATTTTGAAAGAAGAAAATTATTTAAATTGGTTAGTAAGAGAAAGTATTCCACACAGTTTGACCAACATAAGAAATAAAGTTATAAATGAGCAGTATGACTTTGTGATTGTCAGCAATAATTGGAGGACCTAAAGGTTCTTGTGGGAAAGTAACCAGTCATCACACAGCAAAGTTAGGAGAAAGGGATCCAGTTCACATAGATTTTTTTTTTTTTTTTTACCAAACTAAAAAATCTGAATTGTCATTAATATGATTCAGATAATTTGATGAAAACACTATAAAGCTATGCCAAAATATCAAGGGAAAATTTAAGTTGATGTAGACTAGGATGAAGGTGGTGAAAATCAGAAGGAAAAATCTGGGGTTTTTTGATGACTTAACTATGAAAGAAGGTTAAAATGCAATAGTCTTTGTGAAAGTACTTTATAAACTATAAAACCACTCTATAGTGGTATTTAGAAAAATGTTATGATGCTTGTAATACTTCTAACTTGGTGCACAATTATTTACTGACTTTCAGCAACCTGGAATGATGTAAAATGCCTTAGAATAGGTGTCCAGGGATATGAATTTTGGTCTTAGCTCCAACACTATTGTGATGTATGGCTTTAGCAAGTCATTTAGTCAATGGATCTCATCTTTCTATTCTGAAACAACAGAACTTAATTAGATCACTGATTTTCAGTCCTTGTCTCCACTCTAAACCAAATGGCAATGGTACACAAGTCCATGAGAACAATAGCTTGCTTCTTCAGTAATTTTCATGGTGGAAAAGGAAAGAGGGCATGCCTTTGATGGACTCATCTGCAGCCTGGACATGACTGAGGAAAGAATCTGTGAGCTTGAAGATAGGCCAATTAAAAATTCTGAAATGTTTTGAAATGCAAAAAATAAAAAGAATAAAAAAACGAAAAAGGCAAAATAGTCAAGGCCTATGGGAAAATTACAAAAGGTATATGTATAATGGCTATACTAGAGGAGACAAAAAAGTGAAGAGTGCAGAAGAAATATTTGAAGTAATAATGGCTGAGAATTTTCCAAAATTAATGACACACCAAACTACAGGTCCATAAAGCTCAGGGAACACTTACCAGGAAAAATAACAAAACAAACAGAACGAACAACACTTAGGCATATTACATTCAAAATGCAGAAAACTAAAGACAAAGAAAAAGCCTTGAAAGAAGTTGGGGGTGGGGGGGTGAATATTTATTTATAGAGAAAAAAAAAGAATTACATTGGATTTCTTGTCAGGAACCATGCAAGCAGGAAAAGAGTAGAGTGAAATATTTAGTGTTGAAAGAAAAAAACTTCAGCAAACTAAAATCTATAAACAGTGAAACAATCCTTGAAAAATGAAGGAGAAATATAGATCTTCTCGGACAAACAAAAGCTGTGAGAATTGGTTGCCAGTAGACCTGCCTTGTAAGAAATGTTTAAAAGAAGTTTTTTTTATGTTAAAAGAAGGAAAATCAGTTTTATCCTAGGTTTCATCACACACACACACACACACACACACACGACAGGAAATAATATAGGTCAGAAACTCACATCTACCTAAGGAAAGGAAGCATGTCAAAGAAAGAGTAAGTGAAAGAAAATCAAAACTTTTACTTCTTTAGCTCTTACTTAATCTCAGAGTTAACTGTTTGTTCTAAACAATAAGAGCAACAATGTATTAGGTGATTTTAACATAAGGATAAATGAAATGAATTGCAGCAATGTTATAAGGATTAGGAGGGAGGAATTGAGAATAATCTGTTAAAAAAAATACCAGCAATACTCATTAAGTAGGACAGTGTTATTTGAAAGTGGACTTAGATTAGTTGTAAATGTATATTGCAAGAGGAATCTTGTGGTAAGAAAACAAAACCAAACGTCATCACCAGTAAAGTTTAGGGCAACCACTTAAGAATGTGAGTGAAAGACAGGAGGGGGGAGAGAATGGTCACAGCCCCAAGATAATTCTGTTTAGTATTTTAAGATAAAATTTAAGTTTTTGAAATATCACTGAATTTGTTGATTCATAAAATAAGTTCTTAAATATAGCACAATTTTAGAATGTTTTAAAAGTATAATTGATATGCTAAAAGAGGAGAGAAACTAAGGAGCTGGAGAGAAACTGAATCATAAAGTGTTCAATTAAAATCAGAAGAGGCAGAAAAATAAGGGAAGTTTTTTTTAAAGAAGCAAAACAACTACAATGAATAAAAACTTTACAAATGTGGCAAGTATTAGCCAAGTATGTTAATAATTCAATAAAATGTGAATAGTCTAAGTACAAAAATTAAAAAACAAAAACTGTCAGAAGAGGTACAAAAACAAGGCCCATCTATATGTTGTCTATAAAAAACTTATTTTAAATCTAAAAACACAAATAGAGTAAAAGTAAAAGGATAGAGAAAGATATACCATACTAACACCTATCAAAATAAAAGTGGAGTTGATATATTAGTTTTAGACAGGGCAGTCTTGAGAAAAAGAAAAATTAGGGATAAACAGGGGCAATACTTACTGATAAAGGGATCAATTATCTAAGAAGACATAACAATCCTTAACTTATGTGCATCTAAAAGAGTGAAAATATTTGAGATAAAAACTAGAATTGTAAGGAGAAACAGAGAAATCAATTATTATAGTTGTAGGCTTCCACACCCTTCTATCAGTAATTGACAGATCCAGTGGGCAGAAAATCACTAAGGATATAGTTGAAATGAATAGCACCTTCAGGCAACTTGATCCAATTGCCATTTATAGAATACTTCATTTAACAGCAGAAAATGCATTCTTCTCAAGCTCGCATGAGACATTTACCAAGACAGACCACATTCTGAGTTATAAAAGAGCAGAAATCATATAATATTTGTTCTGAGAACATAATGGAATTAAACTAAAAAAATTAACAAAAGATATCTGGAAATACCAAAATATTTGGAGATTAAACAACTCACTTAAATAGCACATGGGTCAAAGAAGTAACAATATTTTTAAATGTTTTGAACTGAATGAAAATGAAAGCACAACAAAATTTGTGGCATGCAGCAAAAACAGGGTTTACAGGTTGTGTTTTGTGTTGAATGCATATATTAGGAAAAGAAGATTGATCTAAATTAAATAATATAAAAAGAAGAATAATGTAAACCTAGAGCAAGCAGAAGAAAAGAAATAATAAAAATTAGAGCAGAGTTCAATGAAAATTAAAAAAAGGAAATCAATTTAAAAAATCAATAAACCAAAAGCTACTTCTATGAAAAGGTTAGTAAAATAATAAAACTCTAACTAAACTAAACAAGAAAAGAGAGAGAAAAAACAAATTATTAATACCAGAAATGTAATAGGGTTCATCACTTCTGATTCCATTTACATTAAAAAGAAAATAAAAAACTATAAACAACTTTTGGCCCACACATCTGGCAACCTGGATGAAATGGACAAATTCTTTGAAAGATATAAACTACCAAAACTTACACAAGGAGAAATAGATAATCTACTATAAATAATCTTTATTTTAAAAAATTATCTAATACTATAGGCCTATATCTTTTAAAGAAATTGAATCAGTAATTAATAACCTTCCAAAACAGAAATTACCAGGTTCAGATAGGATCACCGGTGAATTCTACCAAACATTTGAAGAGGAAATTAAATAAATTCTCTATAATGTCTTCCAGTAGATAGAAGCAGAAGGAATACGTCCTATAAAGATAGCATATACTAATACCAAAACCAGACAAAAACATTACAAGAAAAAGCTATAGACACATATCTCTCGTGAACACAGATGCAAAAATCCTCCACAGAATATTAGAAAATTGAATCCAGCAATGTATAAAAATAATTATGCACTACAACCAAGTGGGATTTATTCTAGATATGCAAGACTGGTTCAGCATTCAAAATTCAATCAATGTAATTCATCACATCAATAAGCTAAAAAAAGAAAAATCACATTATCATATCAACAGATGTAGAGAAAGCATTTGTTAAAATCCAACATGCATTCATGAAGAAACTCAGCAAACTAGAATAGAGAACTTTCTCAACTTGCAAATAAAAATCTAACCCAAATCCTACAGAAACCAGGTGCTTTCCCCCTAAAATCAGGAATAAGGAAAGGGTGTCTTCTCTCACCACTGTTACTCAACAATTGTACTAAAAACTCCTAGCTAATTCAATAGGAGAAGAAAATGAAATAAAAGGTGTACAGGTTGAAAAGAAAGAAATAGGACATTTTTTCTTTGTTCTATGTAGAAAAATCCCAAAGAATCAACAAAAGAACTCCTGGAAATAATAAGCAATTAAAACAATGTTATAGAATATAAGATTAATATATAAAAATTGCTTTTCTATATATAAACACTGAACAAAGAGAATTTGAAATTCAAAACAATATTAATGTAAATTTACAATTTACATTAATATTAAACACACTACAATTTATTTAAGCATGACTCTAACAGTACAGGGTGGAACAAAAGTCGGTTTATAATTGTTCATATGGAAAATAATACCATAATAATAATATATGTGCAAGACTGATATGAGAAAAATTATAAAATTGTGATGAAAAACCTAAAAGAAGATCTATAGTAATGGAAAGATATTCATGAATAAGAAGACTTAATATTGTTAAGATGTTCTAAACTTCATCTATAGATTCAGTACAATCCTGGTGAAAATACCAGAGGGTTACTTTGTGTACATTGACAAAATTATTCCAAAGTTTATATGTAAAGGCAAAAGCCCTAGAATAGTCAATACAGTACTGAAGTAAGTAAAGGAAGTGGGAGGATTGTCATTACCCAATTTCAAGACTTTATAGTAATACAGCTACAGTAATCAAGACAGCGTTATATTGAAAAAAGAATAGACATATAGATCAATGGGTGAGAATACATAGCTAAGAAATAGACACACACAAAAATAGTCAACTGATCTTTGACAAAGGAGCAAAGATAATTAAGTGGATAAAGTATAGAATCTTCACAAAGGAGAAAATAAACAAATGGGACTACATCAAAATAAAAAGCTTCTGCACAGCAAAAGAAACCATCAACAAAACGAAAAGGGAGCCCACTGTATGGGAGAACATATTTGCCAATGATACATCTGATAAAGTGTTAATATCCAAAATATATAAGGAACTCATACAACTTAACAAAAGAAAGGCAAACAATCCAATTAAAAAATGGGCAAAGGACTTAAATGGACACTTCTCCAAAGAGGACATACAGATGGACAAGACACATATGAAAAGCTGCTGAAAGTCATTAATCATCAGAAAGATGTAAATTAAAACCACAATGAGGTATTACTTTACACCTGTCGGAATGGCTACCATCAACAAATCAACAATTGACAAGTCCTGGCAAAGATGTGGAGGAAAGGGAACCCTAGTGCACTGCTGGTGGGCATGCAGACTGGTGCATCTACTGTGGAAAACAGTATGGAGATTCCTCAGAAAATTAAAAATGGAACTGCCCTTTGACCCAGTGATCCCACTTCTAGGAATATATCCTAAGCAACCCAAAATATCAATTTGAAAGAATCTATGCACTATTTTCATAAAAGTGCAATTTGCAATAGCTAAGATCTGGAAACAGCCCAAGTGCCCATCAGTAGATGAGTGGATAAAAAAGCTGTGGTACATTTACATCACAAAATACTATGCAGCTGTAAAAAACAAGGATCTCTTACCCTTAGGGCCACCATGGATGAAAATGGAGAGTATCATGCTAAGTGAAATAAGCCAGTCAGAGAAAGACAAGTGTCACATAATCTCACTCATATGTGGAATCTAATGAACAAAATTAACTGATGAACAAAATAGATACAGAAACATAGAACCATGGAAGAGTCTGAGGATATTCAGAGGGAAGGCAGTGGTAGGGGAGTGGGTGGGGAGAGATTAATCAAAGAACTTATATGCAAATATGCATTGCCAATGGACACAGATAATAGTGTGGAGAAGGCCTAGGAGTGGGGTGGGGCCTGATGCTGATTGGAAGGGCTCAATGTGGGGAAAAAAGAGGACATCTGTAATACTTTCACCAATAAAGATAATTTTTAAAAAAAATTAATTAAGGAGTTTAGAGTTAAGGTGAGAATCGGGTATCAATCTCTGAACGCTCCTGAAATGCCAGGAAATACAGATCAAGTAATTTCAAGGATTCTCTTTCCTTTTTCCAGTTTGAACACAGTACTGGGTGAGCCAATATATTTTTGCTACTCTGTAGATATTGGTAGGCAAGGTGGGTAGGGGAATAGTGAGATTTTATTTTCTCCTTATGGCATATAGTCTGTTGTCTATAAATGGTTTTCTGAGAATTCCCCCTCACTTGGATTGTGGTGCTGGGGGGTGGGCGGTTATCTTTCTCAACCCATCACAGGGAGGGAAAGGGAAAGATCAGGGAAACACATAACACTAATCAGAAGAAATCCTCTCACTGAACCCAGATTGAGCTTAGCCATGTCTTATGTATAGACAATAGGGAGGTGAGAATTAGACTTTTTTGGGCCATCTCTTTGAAGTAATGCCTTAATGAATCTATTATCTCCTTATTGGAATGTAGAGGTCCTCATCATTTATTGTACTCAACTGAGAAAATAGAAAATAAATGTCATTTAACATTCTGTCATATAGGAAAAATAAAACATTTGATGTAGTGAGGTACCTAAAAATATAAGCACAGTGCATTTTCTGGATTTAAGAGAGAAAATAATACTTACTTTTGGAACCTAAATGAACTTGTGGTACCTTGTAGACAGTAACAGAATGTTATCATGTTCAAAACACACATTGGTCTGACATCTGGCATTGAAAAGAAATGTAATCTTTGCTCAAAGAGTTTCAAATAAGGAAGAGATGATGATGTATAGTAAACATTTATCAAGATTATTTTTATCCATCAGTATTGCCAGAGTTTTAGTGGCAACTGCTCAAAAATCTCTTATATACTCTACTTTTTTCTCCATCAATTCTGTGTGTTTTTTTTTCCAAGCGTAAGCTCCCTACCATTCATAAATCTAATACAATTTAGCCTCTTCACATCTCCAATTATTCATTCAAACTTTATCTCAGTTAGTTAAACAAAAGTCCTGATAGCTGAGTGAATATATACAGAAATATTTCTAGAAGGTGAGAAAGGGGTGAGTAAATAAAGAAAAGCTATGAGTGCTAAGACATTATAGTTTTGTCCCTGACACCTTGATGAATATAATCAAATTGTGCTTTTTCTTTTTCTTTTTCTGGTTTAGCCAAGACTGATAAAATTGAACCACCACATGAGAAGTTTGCTCAAGATGAAACCACTTTAGTTGAAAGAGATAAAACAAGTTTTCCTTCTGTTGTTTCAAGACAGCAACCACAAACCTCTGTCAATATCCAAACTCTCTCTCTCAATTATAACATACAAAGCAGAGTGGCTACTATTTCAACACCTCACAAATTTAAGAATGTTTATTGGAGCATTCCAGAGACTGCTACTGGTTCCATATTTTTTCCAAGTTTTCATCCAGCTTCCAGACGAGTCTTGGGAAAAGAAAGAAATCAAATGGAAAGATCAAGAAAACTGAAAGATAAGCCATCAAAAATAAGAACAACTTCTGTTGATAACATGCTGAAAGACATTCTGATTTTTTCCTCAGAGTTCTCCAAATCTTCAAGTGCCCCTTCCCCAGTTATCACTCCCAAACCCAAGGAAGTTCACTCTGAGTATTGCAGGACCTATACTTTTAAGCACTCTCTGATAGATTTAAGTGCAACAACGCCAAGACGTCTCCCAAGAACTATGCCTGTTCAAGCAAAAAAACATCAGCCTGACCATTTACAACAAAATACGATGGTGATAAATATTTCTACTTTTCCTGGAACTATTATCATACCAGCAGCAGTTTTACCAAGAAAACCTCGTAGACAGTCTGAAATAGGTATATCCATTTTGAACATGGTCTGTAATAATGTGGTTAAGTTGAGAAAAGGGAAAAGAAAGGCATGCAAGCAAATGGTACCCCCCACTTGAGTTTGCAGAGTGGAATGGTAGTATTGCTCTTTGCCTATACATTTAATGTATGGGTCAGAATGGTCAGAATGCGGTAACAGAAGTTCTGACCTTGCAGGTCTGCTAAGGCCAAACTGGGTACTCACCCAAATGGTGGTTGTGGGAAACAGATAAGGGAGTTCAAGAGATCAAAAAATATAAAGGGCAGTGAGAATGAGGACTCATTCAGGAGGTAATCTAGATGAACTCTAGAAGCAGAATGTCAATGCTATGGAATGCCTTTATAGACAGATTACCATAGATAATTTTAATTCATTAAAAGATGAACAATTATAATGAAATCATAACAGCCTCAACATGAATTTTCACAAGTATCCAAAGATTGTTCCATTTTTTAAATTTTTTCTAGAAACTCATTTATCAGAAAATGAAAATCTAGAAATTGTTCCAAAGCAAAGCACACCAACTTCATTTGAAGGTAAGTGCTACGTTTATGCCATTCTTTCAAAAACTGTATGTAAGATTATTTTGCTATAAAAGTATTCATGATTTTGTGTGTTTGTGATTCACACATATATCTCACCTCATTTTCATTTCCTTAAGTCGTTTACTCAGCAACTTATTTTTAAGTATTGACTATAAATCAAACTTTGTACTGATATTGGGAACATAAAAGCTGCAATATTTTTATTTTTTTATTTTTTATTTTATTTTTTAAAAAATATATCTTTAATGATTTCAGAGAGAGGAAAGGAGAGGGAGAGAGAGAGATAGAAACATCAATGATGAGAGAGTCATTGATCGGCTCCCTCCTGCACGCCCTTGACTAGGGATTGAGCCCACAGTCCTGGCATGTGCCCTGACCGGGAATTGAACTCTCATCGCCTGGATCCTAGGTTGACGCTCAACTGCTGAGCCATGCCTGGCTGGGCTGCAATATTTTTAAATGAACAGATACATATTTTAAAATAACACAATGACTTCTGGTTTTGTCCAAGATTGAGTAACTTGTATTGAAAAGCCCTTTCACCAAAATCATATACAAAACTGCCCAAAATATACAACATATCTCATGAAGGTATTGGAGATTAATGATCACAGAGAAGACTACAGTGGCTATGAGCCTTAAAATAAGGCAAACCTATGAATGAGTTCTACATTTACCTTGGCATTTTGCCAGGGGCATTTGTTGGTTGATAGGATAGAGCACAAATAGAAATTCATAGTACTACTGGATTGAGGTGATAGCAATCAGACTTTAGGACTGCTAATATAGCTGGGACTTGAGGGGGAAAATCTCAGAGAAGAGACAACTGAATCCAAATATCTGCAAATTCCTTTAAGGGTGTTGGCTGATTTCTAAGCTGTGCAAATACAGGAAAATACTCTAAGAAACATAGCTGAAAACATCAGCTGAGATGCTAAAAAATGGCACAGATTGTCACAGTTGCACAGGAGACAGTTATTGAAGTTCAAGTTCTGCCAAAGTGAAGGGGCCTTTGTAAACACCGTGGGTTTTCATTTGAAGACTGAGAGAACCCATGTCTGGGGAATAAGAATGATGTTCTACAAGAAAGGACAAAACTAAATTATATAACTCCTAATGAAGTTCAAAACCAATTATTGATAAATCAGAGTGATACCTTGTGCCTAATCAAAGAAAACCTAACACTTGGTAGAGAGAGATAGCATTGTCCAGTCCCTTTAAATTTTCATCTTCAATGTTAGCATCAAATTGAAATTTTATAAGGGATCTTAAAAACAGGATAAAATGTGTGAGAAACCAGTAGAAAAAACAAACAATAGAAACAGACCCATAGATTCAGATATTGAATTTTTCAAACAAGGATTTAAAAACAACTATGATTATTATATTCAGGAAAGTTTTTTCAAAGCTGGAAAATTTTCCCAAAGATTGTGATATTTTATTTTCAAAAATAATGATCAAATAAAATTCTAGAACCAAAAAAATAACAAAGTGATTCAATAGATGTCTTTAATAGGAGATTATACAAGGAACACTTCAATGATAGAACTTTCTTTTTTCCTTCAGTTTTACAGAGATATAATGGACATATAACACTGTATAAATTTAAGGTATACAAAGTAGTTATTTTATATAACTGTGTGTGTACACACACAAACATGCATACAGCGTGGAGCAAAAGTCAGTTTACACTTTGTTCATATGAAAAATAATACAATAATTAATAAATAATAATACAAGAATAAACTCTGGGNCACACAAACATACATGCATACAGCGTGGAGCAAAAGTCAGTTTACACTTTGTTCATATGAAAAATAATACAATAATTAATAAATAATAATACAAGAATAAACTCTGGGGGAGGAAAAATGGCAGCATTCTGACAAGAAGCAGAGCCCCCTTGCTCCCAACCACAGAATAGATTTACCACTAAAGTACTGCATAACAAGATTGGAAAAACAAGAGAGATATACTTGAGTGGACAAATTTGAGTAAGGAACATTAAAGAAGCATAATAGAGTCTGGTAGAAAGGGGGAGTTCTTCCTGAAGCCAGTGCTGGGCTGCAAGGCCTGAGGGTTAGAGGCTGCAAAGCTCCCTCCCCTTGGGAGTGTGAACTGGCACACAAAAGCTGATATCTCAAGCCTGGAACAGAGGAGAAGGGAAGGAGAGCCCATGCGTGGAGGGCAGAGAGAGCCAGGGGAACAGTGTGCCTATGAGGAGGGGACCACAACTGCCCAGTGAAACAAATCTTCTAATGGCGGCCATGACAAGCATCTTTCACACCAGGTGCTGACCATAGGAAAGGCTGTTGCACAGTGTGTGGCTCCCAAATATAAAGGGTCTGGAGGGCTGCACTAAGCAGCCACCTACAGAAACCCTCTGCTTTTCTGTAAGGCATTGTGTAGATCCCCAGAAAGCATTTGAACTGTGTGGTGTGGGGAAGGAGAAGAGATATCTCCTGCTCACAGGGAAAGCCTGGAGACACCAGTGGGGAGGATCAGGACTCTAGCTACCAGAGCTGCTGGTGGGGTGAATTGGAGATTTTTGACCTCCACCGAGGGAAACTGGGATAGCATACACTACACTGGGTCCCACCGGGTTACATTACAAAATCCCACCCCACAAGACTGGGAGACAGCAAATATATCTAAAATACAGATACAAACACTAAGAGTCACTAAAATGGGGAGACAAAGAAACAACCCCCAAACTAAAGAAAAGGAAAAATCACCAGAAAAAGGCCTTGATGAGATGGAGTTAAGCAAGTTATCAGAAATAGAGTTTAGAGTAATGGTTATAAAGATGCTCAAGGAAATTAATGAGAAACACAAGACAATGTGAAGGTCCAGGACCATAGTGAAAACATGAAAAAAGAACTAGGTATGATAATTAAGAGCCAGGCAGAAATGAAGAATACTATATCTGATATCAAGAATACACAGGAAGGAAATAAAAGCAGGCTCAATGAAGCAGAGGGTAGAATAAGTGACTTAAAAGATAAGGTAGAAAAAATTACTCCATCAGAGCAGCAAAAAGAAAAAACACTTTAAAAGCATGAGAAAAGTCTAAGGGAGCTTTGGGACAACATGAAGCAAAACAACATTCACATCATAGGGGTTTTGGAGGGGGAGGAATGTGAGCAAGGGATAGAGAACTTGGTGGAGGAAATAATGACAGAAAAATTCTCTACACTGGTGAAGGAGAAAGCCATACAGCTTCAGGAAGCACAGAGGGTTTCAAGCAAGACGAACCCAAAGAGACCCACTACAAGACATATCATAATTAAAATGGCAAATGTTAAAGACAAAGAGACAATATTAAGGGCTGCAAGAGAGAGACAAGCAGTGACCAATGAAGACACCCCCATAAGGCTGAGAACAGATCTCTCAACAGAAACACTTCAAGCCAGAAGGGAGTGGCGTGAAGTTCTCAAAGTAATGAAAAGCAAGAACATGCAACCAAGATTTCTTTATCCAGCAAGGCTCTCATTTAAAATTGAAGATGAAATGAAGAGCTTTCCAGATAAAAGAAGGATAAAGGAATTCAGACCACCAAACCAGCACTGCAAGAAATACTAAAAGGACACTTTAAGAAGAAATATTTAGAGAAAAGTACATCAGCATAAAGGGGAAAAAATGGCATTGAATAAGTATATATCAATAGGAACCTTAAATGTAAAAAAGAATTAATGCTCCAATCAAAAGACATAGGATAGCTGACTAGATAAAAAAACAGGATGCAAATATATGCTGTCTACAAGGGACCCATCTGAGAACAAGAGATTCATACAAGTTGAAAGTGAAGGGATGTAAAAAAATATTTCATGCAAATGGAAACCAAAAAAAAAAAAAAAAAAAAGCTGGAGTAGCAATACTTATTTCTGACAAAATAGAATTAAAAAGAAAGATCATAACAAGAGACAATGAAGGTCAGGTCATAATACTAAAACAATCAAACTAAAGGAGAAAATAACCCTTATAAATATACAAACACCCAATATGAGAGCACCTAAATATATAAAAATTCTTTTGGTGGACTTTAAGGGGGAGATTGACAGCAACACAATCATATTGGGGAAATTTAACACCCCATTGTCATCATTGGACAGATCATCACAACAAAAATATCAACAGGGAAACAGAGACCTTAAATGACACACTAGAGCAAATGGATTTAATTGATATATTCAGAAAATTTCATCTCAACGCAGCAGAAAACCCATTCCTCTCAAGAGCACATGGAACAATCTCAAAAATAGACCACATGTTAGGGCACAAGGCAAGTCTCTACAAATTCAAGAAGACTGAAATCATATCAAGCATCTCCTAGATCACAATGGCCTGAAACTAGAAATCAACCACTATAAAAAACTCAAAAACATTCAAACACATGGTAGATAAATAGTATGTTACTAAAGATTGATTGGGTTACCAATGAGAGCAACGAAGAAATCAAACACTTTCTGGAAAAAAAAAAAAAAATGAACAGACAACAACCCCAAATCTATCCTACACTGCAAAAACAGCCCTGAGAGCAAAGCAGTACAGGCATACCTCAAGAAAAAGCTTTACTAAACCATTTAATACAGCAGCTAAAGTATTAGAAAGAGAACAGCAAGAAAATCCCTGAGGAAGTAGAAAGAAGGAAATAAAAAACAGAGCAGAAATTAATGATATAGGGACTTAAAAAACAATACAAAAATCAATGAAACCAAGAGCTGGTTCTTTGAAAAGATAAATAAGATTGAAGAACTTTAGCCAGACTCACAAATAAACAAAGAGAGAGGACCCAAATAAATAAAATCAGAATGAAAGAAGTGATATTAAGAACTGACTTAATAGAAATACAAAGGCTTGTAAGAAAATACAATGAGCAACTATATGCCAACAAACTGTACAACATGTATGAGATGGACAAATTCCTAGGAGCATACAATCTTCCAAAGCTGAATCAGGGAAAATTAGGAAAACTGAATAGGCCAATAACA